ATATCCCGAAATCAACAGACCGGGCCCGTCCCGACGTGGCCCATCGCCGCCGCCGGCTCATCAGTATGCTCAGCCTCTCCCTCCACCACCTCCCCAGTCTCAACCTCCGGCTCCCGCGCCAGCTGAGCGACGAGTTGTCAACCCTAACTGGGGCGGTGCGACGCCTTCGGCATCGGCGCCTCCCAACGGCCCAAATGCTGGCAACCCGCCTCCGAACGGCATGACTCCGTTCCGGCCCGCCAGCAGCCCGCGCACCGATGGCCGTCCTCCGATCCATGACAACCGCATGCCATCTCCCAAGTCGGCCTACCCGCAGCACCCGGCTCCTCCTCCACCTCACTATCCTCACCACCCGGAGATGCCCCCTCAGAGCGCTCCTGAGAACAACGCACAGCCACCTCCCCCTCCTCCTCCCGCCTCGATCCCCGAGCCACCTAGTCAGCGCATGGAGGATCGGCCCTCGTCTGTAGGCCCCAAGCGACATCGTGAATGGGAAGAGGAACCCGTGTCTAAGAAGCCTGCCAACGAGGAGACGCGTGCACGACTTGGTGATTTACAACACCGCAGACCATCCACCCCTCCCCCTGCCCGTGACCCGTATCGCCGCAATTCATCCGAGGCTCGCCGAACGGAAGAGCAGCGTCGCCCCGAAGAGCCCCGGAGGCCTGATGAGCCACGCCACAAGGCAGAGAGCTATCATCCCTCCGAGGCTGCTCACCACACACAGAACCATAGTGTGAGCTCCAATCACCTGCCGCCGATGCAGCAGGGAGCGGGCCCCATGACTGGCGTCGTTCACGAGAAGCCCAACCCTCCTGTTGTTCCAAAGGAGGAGCCTCGCGCTGAGCAGGCCTCCACAGCTCGCCCAGCACCCCCACCTGCCTCTGAACCTGAGCGTGCCGCTAGGAAAATGGACGTGGATGAGGACTATGACGACAGTGGGGAGGACGAGAAAAAGGCAGTGCTCACCAATGGCTCTGGGCCTTCCGCAGCTTCAAGCGACCTGAAAGCTCCCAACTCCTCTGTCAACGTCAATGTGGCATCTGGCCCTGCGCCCAAGTCTGAGTAGGACATCTTTTGACGG